ATGGCGAAGCACACGGTGTCCTCGGCGCGGTTCCGCCGGGTGGACGTGGACGAGTACGACGAAAACAAGTTCGTGGATGAGGAGGACGGGGGCGACGGGCAAGCGGGGCCCGATGAGGGCGAGGTGGACTCGTGCCTGCGGCAATATCCTGAAGGGAGCGGCGAGGGCGGAGCGGGCGCGGCCTTAGAAGGGAACATCCTCGAGCGGGCACTGCGGTGGGCGGGAAACGCTGGAAGTGGATAGGGCTGGCGGTGGGAAGGGGCTGAAGGAGAACGGGCTGGCGGGCCAAGGGAAGACTCTGAAGGCGGAAGAGGCTGGCAGGAGAAAGAGGCTGAAGGGGGAGGGGGCTGGCAGAGGGAAGAGGAAGAGGCTGAAAGGAGAAGGGGCTGGCAGCAGGAAGGCGGCCCAGCTTCCTCCCCTGCCCACAGCAGCCGCAGTGCCCCAGGGCTGCGCTCAGTGAGGTGTCCAGAGGAATGTAGACAGGGAATTTCCTGTGCCCAAAGAGTTCCCCTTGCCCGCTAGCAGGGCTGCCTCGCCCAGCTGGCCCCTGGTCACTCTTCCCAAGAGCTGCTGTCTCGGTGGCTGCTCGATGTGCCAAGCTGAGACCTGTTCTCAAAGGCTACAGATTGCAGAAGTGATGGAGAATGGTTTCTTTTACTTGGACCCTGATTCAAGGAAAGGGTTAGGAAGCATTCAACAATCCTGGAACTATACAGCTGCTTGTTGATGCTGCTTCGGCCTCAAATGACCTGAAAATTGCTGTCTTAGACTGTAATATCTTAGCTGGTGAGGGAATCCTTGCATCGGAGTGTTTTCAGTCATGCACAAGTATTGACTGTCCTGGTATGTGATGTCCATATACTTGCTATCTGGTCCTTAACCATCTGGCACAGGGAACATGATGGCTGCACTGCAGGCAGCTTTGAAGAACCCTCCCATCAACACAAAGAACCAGGCAGTGAAGGTAAAATAGTGACTGTTTGCTCATGTATTACTCCCCAAAAATCCTTTCCTGTCTCTGTTACCTCTGTGCCACTAGTTGTACCTGGAGGAGGTGAGAAGCAAAATTTAGGGTATTCCCTTATATTGAAACATCTGTGACAAGTGTTTTAATCTTGTTCAAAATACTATAGCTCAAGTACCAGGTACTTTTACCTTGGTGCTAGATCAGGTGTGGTTCTCCTACCAGTGCTGGTTGTGTTTTGTGCCCAGGTGTCACAAGGTGCCTGTGTCTGACTCAGACCAGATGTGGCAGCTCACAGATGTAATCATGTGCACAGGGAACCAGGGTTGCAGCTGTCACCTCTGAGTAATGAAAGCACCAGCAGTGAGCCTACAAAAAAGGAAGAATTGTTTTTTATAATATCCAATCAAAACAAAGCTGTTAAAACTCAGGAAATGTGAGCCTTCCCCCTGTGACAGAGTGTGGGAGTCTGCTGGGTATGTGCATTTCTGAATATCCCCAGGATGAATCCTGAATAGCTCATGATTGCAGTAGTGGGAGGAACAGGCTGATTAGATATGGGCACTGCCCAGCTGGTGAATGCCTGCAGTCACTTCTCCCTGCCCAAGGAGAGGCCCAGGGGCATGGTTCCCTGCTGCATGGTTCCTGGCAGAGCTGTTCCCGCAGCCGCAGCCCTTTCCTGAAGGGTTTTACAGAGCTCTGAGAATCAGCTATTACAAATAGAGCTGTACAGCTTTGTCCTCACATTAGTGACTTGTTTCCATTAGTGAGGTGAAGGAATCCTCTATTGAAGGATTTAAGAATACTTTCAGTGGTGGAATTGTAAAGGGCAGAATGACTGAACATTAATACCTGCCTTAATTTTTTGTTATCTGTGGAACTTAAATAATTTTACTTACACTCATGTGAGAAGTCTTGCTAAGCCAAGTGATTATGGGATATTAAATTGGGCAGGAAAACTGACATCCATAGTTTCTGTAGGGGGGAGCTGCCTGAAGTGTTTGTGTGATGGAATTATTCAAAAGTCCAGGAGCCCTGAGACATTCTTCTCTCATCCTGCCTCAGTTAGTGATGGATGAAAAGGAAGAGCTGCTTCTTGCTGATTACATGGCTAATTGCTGCTGTAAGCGTGCCACACACATTCCCAGGCCTGAAATGACATCCAGATCAATGGTTATTAATGCTCGATATTAATGGCCAGTCTGCATCCAGTGTGCCTGGGACAGCAGCTGACTGCTTGGAAAACACATGGCTTCCAGCAGTTAACTCTTCTAGGCTACCAGTGGCATTTCCCTCAATTATAATGGTTGTGTCACGTTAAACACTACAGAGGTATGGAAAAGGCTCTGGTGGGAAGGGGGGCCAGATAAGCACTTGATTGTTGTAATTATTTTGGAACTTGATAGCTCCTGAGCTTCCATATGAGCATTTACTATTTAGCCATAATTAAGGGATGGAGAATTGCAAACACTGACAGAGATAACTAAAATCTTTAGAAAAACTAAAGCAGGGCAAATATGTTAAACTCTTTTGCATTGTTTATTCTTGGGAGAACATGTCTGTTATATTTTACTATGACAAGCTCTTCACACACAGTCCTCTTCAGAGCTGTTAAAGGGAAAAATGCTCTAATTCAGTTTTTTTGAGAGAGGAGCAGTGTTTGGCTGCATCTCACATGAGGATGGCTGTGTCTGTGCCTGCCTGTTGACAGGACCGTGCTGAGAGCATCGTGCTGAAGGTGCTTATCTCCTTCAAAGCCAATGACATTGAGAAGGCAGTGCAGTCGCTGGACAAAAATGGGGTGGACCTGCTCATGAAGTACATCTACAAGGGCTTTGAGAGCCCCTCCGACAACAGCAGTGCTGTGCTGCTGCAGTGGCATGAGAAGGTGCGTGCATGGGGACAGCTCCTGCCAGAGTCTAGAGGTCATAGCAGAGTTATATCTCCTGCCTACTTCTGCTTCCTACTGAGGGTAAACACTCAACAGTTAAAATTTGGGTTTCTCTTAGACTGAGGCAAATGGTTTCATCCAGTGATTCAAGTAGACTGAAGGAGAATTTCCTTCCTGGAGGGAAGCAAAATTTGCAGCTTGGTTATGCAGGGAAATGAAAGCCTAATTAAAGTTAAACAGCTTTCTTGTAATTGAGTATGATTATCGTACCCTGGCTGCTGGTGTTTTGTGGAGGGCAGGCATATACTCATGTGCAATATAAATGTGATCCAAGTAATTTCATAGACTCCCAGAATGGTTTGAGTTGGAAGGGACCTTAAAGCTTCTCTCGTTCCTCCCCTGCCATGGGCAGGGACACCCTCAATATCCCAGCTTGCTCCAAGCCCCATCCAGCCTGGTCTTGGACAGGGACAGGGCAGCCAGAGCTTCTCTGGCAAACCTGTGCCAGGGGCACCCCACCTTCACAGGGAAGGATTTCTTCCTGATACCTAACCTTACTCCCTGTCAGTTTGAAGTCCTTCCCCCTTATCCTGTCATTCCATGCCATGTCCAAAGTACCTCTCTATGGTTCTTGTCAGCCTGTTCAACTCCTGGAAGGGAGCTCCAGGCTGTAGCTACCCTGGCCTAGTGTTCATTGCCATCTTTCCCTTCGCAGGCGCTGGCTGCTGGAGGAGTTGGGTCCATTGTGCGTGTTCTGACTGCGAGGAAGACAGTGTAACTCCAGCAGGGAGCTGCTGGTACAACCCCTGATCCCCCTCCCAGCAAGGCTGCCCCTGGGCAGCCCTGTCCCCCAGCTTTGCCTTTGCCCTGCTGCTTCTGTCATACCCCACCAATTATGCACATTGTGATCTCTTCTGTAGTTAAATTCTGGAAAATTATGAAGGTGGAATTTTACTTCTAACAGGAATATTTGGTACCTACCATCCTTTCAGTGATATATTCAGTGATGTAAACAATTCAGTGCTTAGGGTGATTTGCATTTGTGTGTAATCGTGGCATATTTGGACCTGACTCTGAGCAAATGCTGAGGGACGCAGGGCAATGTCTTAATTTTTTGCTAGCCAAGCATTGTTTTGAGTTAAAATCTTGATATTTGAGAAGTGGGGCAGCTATTACTAACACATGTAACTGGACCATGTTGCCTTTGGTCAACCTCTGACCCTACAGGGTGAATAGGAGAGAAAAAAAAGCTCTTTTTCAATCCCAGTTATCATTCCAGAGAGCCAGGTATTTTCCTTAACCTGCCCAGGTTCCTTGCCATCAGTTTGATGCTGGGTCCACATTGGGAAGGTCACAGTGAGATGGAGTTGTCCATCATGCAGTTTGGAAAGTGGAATTTAAAAGGTCAGTGGTCCATTTACATTGGAGCCCAGCCCAGCGAACTCTTCTTATTTTGGGGAGCAAAGATCCTGAGGAGAAGAAGAAAAAGCAGCTTTTACACAGCAAATCATCTTTCAGCAACTGGAAAGTGATTTGTTTTTGTCAAGCACAACTAAATGGCTGCTTGAGGTAGTCTGAGAGACATGTTCTGGTATCAATACCATCCTTTCAGAGCCTCCCCTATTTTGTTTTCTGGTAGTGTAGGGTCTGTAAGGATAACCAGACAGCTCACATTCCTGTTGCATCGTGCCTCATCATGCTAGCTAGTGGGCCAGTCAGGTTCCCAAATAAAGAAGAGTATTTTAAAGAATTAGGAAAACCCAGGACATCCCAGACCACAGATCACCATAGAAGGTTTAAGGCCAGGATTTAAATTACATGTGTTTTAATTTCACTATTTTACTACAATTCAGTTGTGTAAAACTGTTAGGGATCTTGAGAAATCTTTGCTGTTTTTTGATATCTGCTTTGTTTTTGTAATAATAATAAAGACCAGACAATAAACCATCACTGAATATTTACTCAGTGTCTGACATATGGAGACAGCAACCAGCATGGTTACCCGTAAACCATTCAGTGCCTCCCTAATTCTCTTCCTAGGATGCTTCTCCTTGCTCACTGCCTCCAGAAGAATGCAGGCACAACCACGGGGGGGCACTGAGATAACCAAGTGGGAGACCCAGGCTTCCTACAGAAGCTAAGAAGCTATAGAAAGTGTCCATGTTTTGCCCATGAATCTGTACAGAAATTCTCCTGGTTGTGCAGTGAGGGTTCTGTCCTTACAGCTCTGCCAGGGACTGTGATTGGTTTCTTTGGTTCTTTACTCTTGCCTAGATTTGGATTAAGACATCAATGAACCTCATTTTAAAAAAATAAGCTGTAATCCCAGAGAAGTGGAAAGTATTTTCCAAAGAAGTTGATGCCAAAGCAGATCAGCTGCTTCTAGATGGCATTAGATAAATTAAGTGAATAAAAAGAGTGGTCTTAAGGTTCTGTAGATCCTTTGGGTGAGGCTGTGATGGATTTAGGAACATTTACAAAACATGTACATCTGTGTTTCTGTTCAGGGATGTGCTAAAACATGCATTGATGTGGGGATAGGGTAGGATTTGCCAGGGCAGCCCTGCTGATAATGAGTGACAGGAAGGGAAAAAGTAAATCTAGTTTTAAAAAAGTCTCCTCCAAATCCTGCCTTTCTTGTTTTGGTGGATGGTATGGACACCATGACAGGGCTTCAGATTCCTGTTAGGTGAAGGAAGCCTTCTATGGAGAGCCTCACGCAGGTAAGAGTGGGAAGGGTGACAGGGTTTGCAGAACTCTGCTGTCTTCAGCTTTAGCCAGAGTGCATGGCAATGGAACCTTCTTAGTCATGTCCTGTTTTTGCAGGTCACGTTTTTGTGCTAGCCAAGAGTCACTGCTGTCCTCATGTCCACCTCAGTGTCTGCCACTGTTTGGGAGAAGAGCCAAAGCCCCCAGGTCCTGTGCAGAGAGCTCCGACCTACCTTTATGGGAATAAGCTGGACATGATCCTCCACTTCTCTTGCCCAATAAAACTCCTCACAAAAAGGGCTTCCCTTGTGCGTAATGGGGAGTTCTTTGTGCCTGAGTCAGTCTTTTTTTGACTCTTCATAAATTATAAACTTGTACACATCATTGCTATACAAAGTCAAAATGTGCACTGCACCCTAGCTGGATTTTGGACATTCTCTATTTCTGACCCACCTATTGGCAATCTGGGTTTGCTGGATTCCATGAGTCTTCCACAGGAAATGTCACCATCTCTGTTACTTCCTGTTGGGTGTTACCATAGAAGAAACAAGTTTACCTACTGAGTCAGCTCGGGGCAGAGAAAGGGGAACAAGAGACTCACTCTTGCTAAAAGGGCTGTGTTTATCACAGCTCGGAAATCTCACTGTTAAATTACAAATATCCAGACAGAAGGACAGTTGCTGTGAGTATTCCAATGGGGATGATCTCATTCCTTTCCAGCTCTCCTTGTACCAGTTTTGGATAAACCTGATGAAGCAGTGCATCAGTTCAGATGATTAAAGGAACAGAAAATTATGCCTCCAATAAGGTGAGCCCTTTGCTGCTCCGTGGGGTTTCCCATCCCTCACAGGAATCAGAAAAGGCATCTAGAGAGGTGTTTTTACCCTTTTACCTGAGCATCACTTCAGCTGGTTGCATCTCCTGCTTTCCTGGAGATCAGTCTTCCATGCTTCCATGAGAAGCCCCTAGGAACCAGCTGGGTTGCTGAGGGTACAAATACAGCTGGAGAACCAGAGCCCTAGACTCAGAGTTCTCTTTGGTCCTACTCTGGATTAAAACCCCAGTCTTTGCTGCTCAGGTTTCTCCATCAGTAGTACTCTGAAGTCACCTCCCCAGCCTCCCTCCCAGTGCTGGAGTTACCTAATTTGCTGGGGAAGTTTTGGTAAAGGCACAAGGGATAAGTCTTGCTGACATATTTTGAGCTCTTACAAAAAACACAGTCACATTGCTGGTAAATGGGGCAGAGGCAAAGTACTTCCAAAAAGGCTTAAAAACCATGTGTGGAGCAGCCAGCTTCAAACCTGTGAGTCAGCAGCAGGTCAGAATCCTGCTGTCGCCACGTGCCCCATACTCGTCTTGGCCCTGGGTTCCCAGCAGTGCTCCAGAGCCTGTTATGCTTTGTTTGCCCTAAAACACCCTGGACAGAAGTGATGTTGGGCTGAGCCCTGGGGATATGGTGCAGCATAGCCACAATCCCAGGAACCTCATCCATGGGCCCTTAGCAGAGAAACTCCACACTGGGACAACACAGTGGGGTCAGGAAGGACCAAGGGTTTCCCTGGCAGTACCTTGGGCTCTACTGCACCTCCTCACTTAGGCAGACAGGGGAGCCTCAGCCCCTGTGCCTACCAGGAATTGTTTGCAGGGCACCAAGGGCTCAGCCCAGCACTCATCCTGGGCTTTTGCAACCTGAAATTTGACTTGATGAACCACCCAGCTGACAAAATCCTTGACTTTTAATGTAAAAACTGGAAGATCAAAACCTGAGTAGGCGAAGAGTGGTTGCTCAAGAGGAGCAAGGATGAATACCATGGAAACCTGCTGTGTCAGAGGCAGTCTCTGCTCCACTTCCCCACGCAGGGCTGATGATGCGAATGAAGCCACTTCCTGCCAGGTTTGTGACAGGGGCGGGGGTAAAGCAGAAGTACAGGCAGAAGGGAGCCAGAGAGGCCGAGCTGCGCCACAAGGAAAGACAGTGAGAGGGGTGAGACCCACGACACGGGGATCCCACTTCCCACTCCCACCACGCCATGTCCCTGGTGGAGACGATCCGGCTGTGGCAAGAAGGGGTGTGTGCGGCGGACAGGAAGGAGTGGAGTGCTGCCCTGGATGCCTTCATGGCCGTCCAGAACCCCCCTGCCAAAATCTGCTTTAACATCGGCTGCATCCAGCTTGTCCTGGGAAAGCTGGCGGAGGCGGAGGAGGTAAGGGTATAGGCCCTAGGGCCACTCATCCTCTCACCTCTGGGACTTGCCCAGATACTTGGTCTAAGGGATGGATTCAGGGCCTTTTAATGTTGTGAGGAAGGTGGGGCAGCCTAGGCTGCCAAACCTATTCTGCCAGTGAATCAGGTGAGGCAGCAGCAGTGATAAACAGCTCATTGTTAAGTCTCTCCGTGAGGTGACCATGCTGGCAAGATGGCTCCAGCTCAAAAAAAACCAGGAGACTGGTACAGGCTCTCCCCAGCGCAATACCCAGTGCTGCAGGGAGACACAGCCCACCGAGCCCAGCTCAGGCCACTCGGCTAAGGCAGGACAGGTACAACTGCTCTACACCCTGTTTTTTTAAGGTGACCCTTTTTTTACCCACCTTTTGCCCCACTTGTACCTTTGCAGGTGTTCACCCAGAGCATCAGCTGTGACAAGCATCTGGCAGTGGCTTATTTCCAGCGGGGGACTGTGTTTTACCGGAGGCAAAAGTGAGTGGAAGGGTTTAAAGTTTCATTTTTGCCACTTACAGAGATGCCAGCCTTCCTCTGAGGATGGCCCCAGGCAGGTTGGTGCCCCAGAGCCCAGACTGAAACCCCTCAGGTCAAACAGGCTCCTACTCTTCACCACTGCAGTCCTGGGATTAACATGAGCCTCAGAACCTCTCTCCTCCCCTGGGGTGTTTGAACCACTCAAGAATAGAGAGGAGACCAGACTGAACTCACCAAGTGTGAGTACAGGCTTAGAGGCAGGCAGGTTGCCACAAGCTAGTGACACCTTCATCCTCTGCTCCGTAGCCACGGAAAGGCCATTGAGGATTTCAAAGAGGCACTGGCCCAGCTACGAGGCAACCAACTCATTGACTACAAGATCCTGGGGCTGCGCTACCGGCTCTTTGCCTGCGAGGTGAGACACACCTGGCCACTTGTTCTGATGCCAAAGGTCTGTTTCCCAGCATGAGAAATCTAAAGAGGAGACAGCCAGCCTCCCTGTACGTTGCAAAAACTAAGCAAGTGGGTGCAGTGCCACTGCCCCACTGTCCTTTCCCTTCCTGCCATCTTGGCAGCAGTCCAGCTGCTCCAAGAGCTCTTTCCTTTGCTCCCATCCCTCCAGCAGATTCTCTGCAACATTGCACTGGTGTATGCCACAATGGAGAACTGGGAGAAGGCTGAGGAGCACCTGACCCTGGCCATAAGCATGAAGAGCGAGCCCCAGCACAACAAGATAGACAGGGCAATGGAAGCTGTCCTGGTATGGAGGAGGTCTCACAGCCCCACAGAGAGGGAGGGAAATCCCACTGGCAGCACATCCACCTTTTAGCAGGATTAAAATGCAATAGATATTGTAGTGGGAGACACAAGTCCATGGGAAGAGCTCTGGGTCACTGGGGAGGCAGGGATGGGAAGACAGGATTCAATGGACCATACCATGGACAGCTGGGATTGGGCTGCCATGGTGGTGATCTGGCTGTATGGAGCAGCCACAAGCCCAGAGCAGAAGGGACATTCTTCAGTCCCTGCTCTCACCTCCAAAGTCTCAATGATTTCTCCGTGCTACAGAAGCAGAAGCTGTATGAGCTGGTGGCTATTCCTGCAGGGAAGCTGTTCAGGCCAAATGAGAAGCAAGTGGCTCAGTTAGAGAAGAAAGACTACCTGGGAAAGGCAATGGTAAGAAAAATCTATACTATTTATTCAGGCCAAGCCTGTGGGCTGAGAAGAGCTGTGACTGCCTTCTCATCATCCCTCTGAGCTGCTGTCTGCTGCCTGGTAGGCAGCCAGAGACAGGGAGCTAGTCTCTGCCTCAGGGAGAGGGGGAGACATGGAGAGAGACATGGAGAGAGGGATGGCACACAGGGATTTCATGGGAAACAGGGAGTCTGCAAGAATACCAGAGCTAAAAGCATGTTCCTGCTGAGCACGGCCTATTTCTAGTTGGTCTCCTTAGTGAGATATGAGGAATAGTCAGCTGGAAAGATACCACTGGAGCTTCAACTCAAGCCAAGGAATTTTCAGGGGTGGGGGAAAGGAGCTATTTAACATTTGACACCCACAACCAACCTCCAGTTCTTCCACTGCTCTGAAAAGGGCTTTTCATCTCAAGATAAGCAAGCAAGCTTTTCTCCTGTGAGTGCAAAATCCAGTCACTGGGATACCACCCCTGGACTCAGATCCTGGGAAGCAGCACTCATCCAGAAAAGGAACCAGGCACTGGGGAATCAGACAGTTTAGAGCCAAAGCAGCTCCTTGAGTGCCAGAAACATGCACAAAAACATGTATCTACTTTCTAAATTAAAGGTTACCTGTAGGAGGTATGACATGACAGGTATTGAGCTGGACACTTTGGCTCCCTTCAACATTTCTCATTAAAACAGACAGGGAAACTTTTAAGGTTATAATGCCTCAAACCACAGAAACAGCCAGTTGGCTTGGCCAACAGCAAAGGAGGAGGGTAGACATCAGAGGTCTGAGAGAGGTCTACAGGCACCAAGTCACTATTTGTCCTTGGCTCTAGGTGGTGGCATCTGTAGTGGACAAGGACGATTTTTCAGGATTTGCTCCTCTACAGCCACAGGTAAGACTGTCTGGTAATGCTCAGTGCAAGATGACATGGGGTGACTGTCATCCACAGTGGGGAGCAAATAGCACCCTTACTTGAACTCTGGGCCACCGCTGTGGGGAGGAGGTGGGTGCTGCTTCCACAGATCAGCTGCTCCTCCAGCATCAAGAAGCTCATCCCAAACCCATCCAAAGCTGTGGCTGAGGTCAAGCTGATTCCCTGCACGGGGAAGTAGTGGGCGGGATGATGGCTCTCTGCAGGGAGCTGTCTCTGACCCTCCCCAGAGAATTCGGTCTGCCTAAGTGTGAGTGGAGAAACAATGGCAGTTCTGCTCTCACTTTGCACCCTCCTGCCCATTCCAGAACTACTTTGCATTTCCCGTGCCATTTTCCAGATGTGGTAGCATCTTCCCATTCCTAAACGTGAAAAGAGATTTTCTAGGAGATTTTTGGGAGGATCTGGGGAAGCACAGCACAGCACCATTGCACAAGACAAATTATAACCTTCTCAACGCAGACAGTTGTTGACAATCTCAATCCTCTGTGAACTGAAACTAAAATCAGGAGTGAAAAGAGGATTGTGCCTCTGTAAACTCTATGTTGAAGAATGGGGAAACTGTTCCTTAGAAGCAACAAAGCCAGTGATAGTCCTCATGGCACTTAAAGTACATGCACGTGGATGAAGGAACAGTGTTGGGGTGAGGGCAGGCAGGGTAAAAGGCTGCAGGGCATTTCTGCAATGCAAATAAAATCCTCTGGATTACTGCTATTTTCCTTTTTGTCTTCCTGTTGGCAGACCTCTGGTCCTCCACCCAGGCCCAAGACCCCAGAAATCCTCAGGTAAGATGGATGAAAGGTGGATAACCCACACAGACAAGCACAACTCCATCCTGCATCCAGCTGGCACCCAGAACTCAGGGGGAATGGGGAATGTAGGAATACAGAGGCAGAGGTCTAGATTCTCCCTACAATATAAAACAATAGCACCACCAACATTCCTGACCTGTCCACTGCTCCCACACCCAGGGCTCTCAGAGGGCAGCCACACCGTGTCATGTACGAGTTCATTCCTGAGACCGCTGAGGAACTGCAGGTCCTGCCAGGAAACATTGTCTTTGTCCTGAAGAAAGAGAAGGACAATTGGGCTACAGTGATGTTCAATGGAAAGGTATACCAGGAGTGTGCTGGACAGGAGGGGCAGAAAGCAGATTATGGTGGAGGTTCTGTAGAGGCAGAGGCTTGCCAACAGTAATTTTCTGACTGAAGTATCTTATGTCCACCCTGGCTTAGGCCGCATGGTTAGTGAAATCCGCCCAACCTGCAGAAACTAAAATTCAAGCCTCAGGAACCCTTCTGGATACAGGGGAGGGTGAGGACACATCCAGTTGTGTCCTCCAGCAATGGGCTGCCTTCTTGCCAAGCAATCACTACTCATCTCTCCTCCCCCTGTAGAAAGGGATTGTCCCCTGCAACTTCCTCGAGCCTGTGGAGCTCCAGAATAAGCTGCATATCCAGGTGAGTAGGCCCAGGAGGAAATAGTGTCCTGGGGAGAGCAGATCTCCACATATTTACCCAACACCTGCCTCCCACTAAAAACCATATATGTGACTCCTACCCGCTCATGATGCTGGGATTGGTTCTTCTGGCTCATTGTCACCTTATTATGAGCTCAGAGATCTGCAAAATCCATGTTGGTGGCATCCTAGTGGTGGTTGGCAATGCTGGGGATATAATGGATAGCAAAGTCACCCCTCTGCAGTTCAAGATCCCAGACAGACTTAGGGAAAATAGCAGGTTGCACAAGGCAGCAGCACCACAGCCCCTCAGTAAGGGTGGGACTGACAACATTATCTTCTTCCCATGGCACAGGAAGAAACCCCCGTGGAAGCTGAAATCTCTGAGTCACCCACTTCCACTGTGCCGGAGAAGCCACGACGCCTTGCGCCAGGTCAGTGTGGGGAGCTGAAGGGATGGGGAGTACAAGGTGACATCACCCACAGCAGGTGGACATGCCGTGTCCTCACCCTTCAAGACCAGGGCTAAGGTTCATGTCCATCTCATTCCTAGCCTCATTTCCAGTCAAGGACTGGGAGACATTAGAGCAGGAAGCAGAGACAGCAACTGCAGTTCTGAGGATGGAGTAAAATAGTGTCTGTGGGGTCCCTGAGGAAAGCAAGTCCCCCTGTGCTCTTAATTAGCACAGTGACTAATGAGAAAAAGGGTCTGAAGATAGGAATGGGGCAAGAACCAGCCTGGAGCAAAGGATTCCTTGCAGGCTTCTCCTTCAAGTAGGACATCCATGATAGTTTCAGTGCTACTGTGAGCTGAGTTAGGCTTGAAGGAGCTGTACGAAGGGGATTCCTGGCTGGTGCGACTCAGGGTCCCACATCCCAAGCTCATGTCCCCAGTAGAGCAGCCTCATAGGAGTCCATGGGTAGATTTGACACAGAGGAAGGCTGTGGCTCATGGAGTTAAGGACAAACACCTCATGGACACAACAATCCCAGTGATCATCTTTATAGCACCAAAAGCCATCTCAGGTCTATTAGGGAGACCATGTTCAACAGTGTAGCTCAGGCTGTTCCTGGAATGAGCACAGCTGTGTCAAAGCACTGCCAAAATGTAAATCAGAACCTCATGAATAGGCTTCCACAAAGCTGCATGAAATCACCCTGCCTGGAGGCCTGAGTTTAACTTTACAGCCCCACTGAAGGACAGATATTGCCTTTGGTTTTCAGGGTGGACCTAGGGAGATCAGAAAAGACACTAGAACCAGCAGCTACATGTTCATCTTTTTTGAATCCACCTGTGAAAGACATCCCACCCCTCATGCTCCCATCCTTGAAAGAGGGAAGGCACAGAGCCAAAACCTGTGTTCAGTAGTTGTGTCTAGATATTACCGAATAACCCCTGTGGCAGATGCCGTATCCATTTGAGGGACTACTGCTGGCTCCAGGGTTGGTTGGTGATGCTGGAGATCATGATGGGCTGCAGGTCTGAATGTGTGTTTAGACAACATTTATCCCATCTCACTTCCTGACCCACCTTTTTCCTCCTCCCCAGACTATGTTCCTGCAACTGTGGCACAGCTAAAAGACACAGCAAAGGTAACATCCTGAGAGTGCAGACTCCAATGTCCTGCTGGTCATACAAATCTGCATTTACCAGACTTAGGGCTGCTTTTTGGGAGTTCTCCAGGCCCCAGGTGAACCCGGGGCTGTGACCAGAGCCACTGCATGACTCTAATCTTAGTCAACCTGAGGCACTTGAGAAGGGAGAAATAGGAGAGAGCTAGGCTGGAATACATATGCTTCTGGGTAGGGTCAGCATAAAGTAGCACTGGGAAAGGAGATGGGAAAATAGAGCAATTCCAGCTCAAAAAAAACCCCCAAAAAAACAACAAAGAATGAGGAGCTTGGAGAGTTGACACAGCTCTAATTTGATCACCCCAAAGCCACAATTTGGTACCAAATCCCTAATCTATTACTGAGCTCTATCCTGGGACAAGCCTAGGGCTGCCAAGTAGCCAATGTCCAAGCACAGCTTGGTAGGCACAATCTAACTCAGGCAACCAGTCCCTGCGCTTGCCAAAGTGTCACAAGGTGACATCTCATTTCCTGCCTGCAGGTGGCTGAAGCAACTGTCTCTAGCCCCCATGTCCTCAAGGTGCATAACAAATTCACAGTTGCCCTGAGAGTCGATCAAGTCCTCTCCTACAGGGAGCTCCTGGAGCTGGTCTGCAAGAAGCTGGACCTACAGCCTGAGCACATGGAGCTGAGGTGAGGCACTGCCAGTCCCAGTGAGCCAGGGCTGTGTTCCAGGGCTCCTCACCTGCATCCTCTGTACACCAGGTACAAGCCTGTGGAGGGCCAGGAGCTGGTGACTCTGAGTGCAGAGAATGTGAAGGCAGCCTGGAACCAGAGCAAGGACAACTGCCTGACAGTCTGGTGCAATAGCACAGAGGTCAGTGACAGCTACAGGGAGCAGCTACCTTGTCATCCCTCCTGCCTTTGTTTTCCTTGCCACAAGCATGGGTTTCTGGCTTTCAACAGAAGCCAGTGACCTCATGAAAGGCAGAGGAGCAAAGAGTGAGTGGAGAGGAGAAGCAGAGCTCATCTCTCTTACCCTGGTACAGAGAAAGGAAACCAAGTGGTCATGTCCTCACCAGCTCGTTTCCTGCCTAGGGAGAGGGGTTTGTACCAGACAGCAAACCAGAGGAGTCACCGCAGGAGGCAACATCGGGAGAGACAGGAACAACCCATGTCGTAGCTCAGTACAGTTATGAAGCCACCCAACCTGAAGACCTGGAATTTCAGGCAGGAGACACAATCCTTCTTTTATCCAAAGGTAACTGTGCTCCTCCTGGGACAGGGGAGGGGAGGGTGATGTGGCAGCAGCAGAGCTCCTCCAGCTCTGCCTTGGGATTCCCATCCACATATCTCTTTTACACACACTTCTTCCAACATATTTTCTTCACTCCTATTTCCACCGCACACCTTCCAAACATCGAAGACAGGAATTACACTTGGGCTGTGTTTAACTTACTGATCACAGTGGATTCTTTCAAGGAGAAAGATGGCCTCATTTTAGCTGCCATCCCCACTATGGGAGCACAGGCTCTCACTCTTATTCCTTCCACCTGGAACCTTTTTTCATCTACTTTTCTTGTTAAAGGGTACAATCTTGCATTATTTGTTCAGTATTAGTCCTTAGTGTTTCTATGGGAATTGAGGCTTAAATCCAGACTAAATCTCAGGAAGATCAATGAAGAATTACATATACAGGGCATGTTCCCCATCACACTTGAGCATCTGAGTGAAATCAAGACATCACGAATAAGTTTTAAAGGCAAAAACCCCTTATGTTTTGCTGTATGTAGTTATGCCACTAATTTGTGGTGGCTGGCAGGCTTTGGCAGCAGCACACAATCAGTTCCCCATCTAACCTTTGACAGGTTAGATTTTACACAATGCGATACTGATGACCCCCTCCACCCCAAAATCCTACCTTCCCCTTCATTGCTGAGCTAAATATTTCCCAATACCAAGCTGGTTCTTGCCTAATTTGGTTCCCCCAGAGCAAAACTGCCAGAGCTCATAGGCTTTATTTAAACCCAGGGTAGCAGAGGTTTTGGGGGGTTGTTTTAGGGTTTGTATGCGAACATGGGAAACAGCTGACAAAATACTTCAGATGTATCCTGAAGAGGACAGACCAAGGTCTCAGATAATTTCCTCACTCTCCACACTCACTTTGTTTCCACTCAAGGCAGTTTCCAAGCACCCTGGTCTCTATTTTGATACAATTTCTAACCCAAATTTGGTATTATTTCTTGTTACCTTACTACTTTGCTCTCTTTCTCATTCCTCCCTTTCCTCCACATTCCACTCCCTCCTGGGTGTAGCACAGCACTACGTTTTATCAGCAGAAACATCATAAAATGGTGATCTCAGGCCTGTCTGCAGCACATTATGCTCCTGTACATTCCTAGGATCATAAGACCTGTGTCAATTTTCCGTTCCAGTAAATGAAGACTGGTTTGAAGGTAAATGCAAGGGGAGAACTGGCATCTTCCCATCTGCATTTGTTCAACAACTCAACGCTGGACACCCAGGGAAGTGATTTCAGAAGAGCTTGAAGTTGTGAAAAGAAACTGCGAATTCAACTGTTGCCATTATGTAGTCTGCATATTAAACCCTGCATCTGAAAATGGACTTTAAACAATATTGCTGCTTGTATTAAAAGCTTTATTTTTTCTCTTACCTTCTGCATTGTTCTTTTAAACAGGAACTTGTTAAGAAGTTGTTAATTTCTGTTAGGAATACATTCATTCCTAAATCCTGTGCTTGCCAAGGGACTTGTCATGTTCCCCCCGCTCCTTAAAAAAGCTTTTTTACAGACAGCCCAGAAGCTGGGAACAACCACAAGAGGGTGGTGCAACCTGCATTTACAGCCCAGCCAGCAGATCCCAAAGGGGAAGTGAGTTCAGGAAGCCACAGACCAGGAACGCATTTGCTTCCTTAAAATATTAGTGCTGACCCCAAGATCTTAGAAGACACCACATAGCCTCACCCTGCTCCAACCCACAATTCAAATTCACAGGGACTTTAAAACTCCCACCAATAAAAACAGACATTTCCTCAGCACTGGGACCCCTGCTTCAAAGCTATTCCTGATCAGTCAGAAGATAAAGTAACTTTGAAAGACACAGCCTGGAATCCCAGAGCTTTACTCTAAAGGTGCTAAGGGATGGCATCCCCACTCTGGATTCTATCACACAAGTCCAGAAAACCCCACTGCCCCGTTAGCCTAAATATCACATTTATTTTTAAATAAACTTATTCTGGAGACAATAAACACCTGTAAAATTTCAAAACCAGAACATCTCTGGAGTTTCCTATGATATACCTGAAAGCATAGAAATAGTGAACACCCTGGTCTGCAGGGAAGTTAGTGCCAGAAGGATCTGTACCCTCCATTTGCACACTGCACACACTGTACCAGGATGAGTCTGCCAGTACAGAGGAGCTTTGCAGGCTGCTCCCATCCTACATATTTAGTTCAGTATGTAAAACACACTACACAGGCAGCACAAAACCACAACCAAATTATATGTACCAAGCCCAAGCCAGAATCACTGTGATTTATTTATAATCAAGAATCTTTATGTTATATATGAAAGGTCTCTTTCAAATTAAAAAAAAAAAAAAAAAAATCAACTTCAAACATTCTTCTGGCTTCTACAGAAAAGTAATGTATTTTTAAAGGCCTGAAGCCAAGTCACCCAGGAAATAAATGCTATACACAGACCTGGATGGAGAGAACATGGTTTAATTAAAGGCAAAGCTGATTTCGGCAGCTGCAGTTCTTGCACAGACAGACAGAAAACACAAAAAGCTTACAACACAAATCAGTTCCTGTTGGGAGCCCCCTCCCTTGCTCTTCCAGGTGCTGGAGGGCAGGCAGGGTCAGATGCATTCCCGAGGCTGGGTGCTTTTGCACAAGTGGAACGGTGCAGCTGGGACCTGGCACAGCTGGGAGTGAGATGGTGTTCCTGCTTAGCTCGTCTGGGGTGCAAGAGTCAGTGATGATGCAAACACGGGAATGTCACAGCTGCCTCGGTGCACAGCTTGGACACACACTGGGAGGGCTGGAAGGGACACACAGGGTGGGCTAGATTACCACCAAGTGGGAACTTCACTTTTTGGACTTGTTAAAGGAAATACAGCTTTGAAATGCAACACAGAACAGTGATGTTGCTAAAGTGGAGTTTGTAGGGAGCTTCTTGTACCCCTGAGGGTATTGTGTCTTCTCCACCTTCCCTTTTTGCATTCTCTGGGGCTGCCCAGACTCCAGTGTCACTTCAGCTCCTGCATGTGCTTTGTTCTACAGCTGAATTCTAGCCCAGAGATCCTGAATCATCACAAAAACCCCTACTGCTAAAAACAGCAAATGGACATTGAATCTGTTTCTGTAACTTCCCTGGGAAATCTAACAAAAACACTGTCCTTTTCTTTAACAAAATTTCCAGTCTTCCTTCCCCCTAATAAATAGCAAATAAAACGTCTTTTTCCTTTTCCCTTCTGCATCTTTTCATCTATGAACAGTACTGTGCTGTTTCTTTGTGTCCATGGGTGCCTTGGATTTGTTTCTGGCACTGAAAGCCTGGGGCTGCAGCTGGGACAGGTTTCTGCAGAGCTAACCAGTGCCTCACAGGGCGTGCGGATGCCCCATGCTATCTGGGCTGACTGTCAGATTCACCCAGCCCTGCTGGACTCCTGATTATTTTCTGCCAGGGTAATGAAACTATAAGCGTTCAGTGAAGATGGGAGGATGGAAAGAGAAAAAACAACACCAAAACAAACAAACAAAACACAGAAAAAACAAACAACCCAAACAAACAAACCCCCCACACACAACAACAAAACCAAAAAAACCCCCAAAAAACCAAAACCAAACGAAAAAAAACCACTGAAAGCTTTCTACCTACCTATTAAAATGAGTCAGGCTGTGAATGCACAGACTAGCCTGCCCTTTGTGAGGCTAGCCACTATGCTACAGTAAAATGTACAGGAATCACACATTAATTTAAAACCCCATAGCAGTTAACTCGCTTTTCAGCAGAGTGCTGCGATGCCCCATGTCACCCCTTATAGCTCAAACACCTACTGAGAGAAGGGCATTTCATGCTGGAGTCTCAAACCCACTCAAAGCCTCTGAGTGAAGCGATGCCAAGTGCCAGACTCTTTCATGAAACTCCTTGATAGTCCAGGACACAGAGCCCCACCTCGTCACCAGCCACTGTGACCGGAGCAGCAACTGGGGCTTTCATTGCTACACACTGACTATGAAGCACATGTGTGTACAGAATTCAGTGTGATCTTACTACTGAGATAGTAATAAAGATGTTTAGGAGTAATTTCAACTACATTCTCAGTCAGCAAAGCAATCATTAATGGATTCCTATTGTATCTCCCCAAGGAGAGAAAAAGGACTGAGAAGTTCTCATTGGCTTCTCCCATCTGCCCTTTGCTCTCAGCTTTTACTTCCCATGTGGCTGGGGACATGCACAATGGAGAAGGTGAGAGGCGGTGATATTGGGTTACTGAGTGAGCCAAACAGCAGTTCCTCTCTCCCTCCGAAGGACCCGGGGGATGGGAGAATTCCTGATGTTGTTTGCTTGCACTGCAGATGTTTTGCGCACACTCAGTGGGTTGGTGGAGCACTTACGCCCTCCTGACAGCAAGAACAGAAGAGAGGGCTGCCACCTGCACAGGACTGTGTGTGCCAGTCCCACAGACCCAACATGCCATGGTTTATGGAGCCGTCGTTGTAAAGGTTGTCTCCTCTGCCTCAATGCGGCTGATTCATTGCGCCTTGTCCGCGCTGCTGCTTCTGCTTCTGCTGCATCAACAGCTGCTCCAGGGCCGAGGGGCCAGGGTGCATCATGGAACTGGACCAGATGGACTAAAAACAAAGTCAACACTAGTACCTCCTTGCATTACATAGCCCCTCTGCCAGATGGGAAAGCAGACACCATGTTCTATATTCTCCCTCTTCATCAGCCATACCTGGCTTACCAAAAAGTTAACCAGGCTTCAGAGAAGACCTTCTAAAAAGAGGCTTTTTAGAAAGAGGCTTTTTTTTTTTTCTTCTAAAAAGAACTTTATCCTCCCCCAGAACCCTCATCAAAAATTCATCCCACATTAACTATTACTAATTTTAGACTAGTCTAAATGTTAGAAAAAAGCTAATGTTAGAATTTCTTCCAATTCTGCCAGCCTGGGCTTGTTCTACAAAATCTCAAATGGACACCTTCCTGCATTGGTGGTACTTCCCACAATGCCTGTGTAAGTGAATCTCCACAAAAAACTTTGGGCATTGGGCATTGAATTCTGACGCTTCCAACAGGCTAACACCCATCACTTGATTGTCCAGCCTGCAGACCTGTCCCTGAGCACAGCCCCAACCAAACCCACCTTCAGGCTCTCCATAAGCACAGCTGAGGAGTCCTCCATGGCAGGAGGGCCTTGGACTGCCCAGGTACCACTGGGAGCACTGGACTGGTGCCAGCTACTCTCCGAAGAGGATGACGTTGTTGGGAGATAGTCCAGACCAAACCCTCCCATTGCTAAAATGGCAGAAAGGCAAGTTCAAAGTGACATGGCAAAAACAGTGCAAAACAAACATCATCAGATGATGGTGTCTGACAGCTCCATGCTAACCTGGAACCCAGCACTTGCCTGGCTTATCTGTTTTCCAGCGGTCTGTGACTCTCCGGTCTCTGTTGTCTGGAGTCCCAATGGGTCCGAAGTTGGAGAAAGGAACAGAATTGTGGTTATGTGTTGGAGGGGAGCTTGGCAAGCTGCTGGGGTTTGAGGAGTGAGGAGACTGGCTGGCTGGTGTTGAATGATCTAGAGATTACAAGGGAAGAGGAAAAATGGTCAGCAGAGACAGCAGGAGCATCCCAGTTTTGAATTTCTTAGTGCTGCTGCAAATTCTGCTATCACCCAGTTTGCTACAATGCTGAAAGTCAGTTTTTATTCCCTCCATTGCATAAATGTAATGAAAATTCCTAAATTCTGAGTGAAAAATTTACAAGAACAGAATAACTGTGTTTAATGCTTACCAGAAAAACAAAACCCAGGAAACTTCATGAGGGCTGACTAGGCAAAGCCAGTTTCCCCCATGTCTCTTGAAGAACTTGTCTCAAACTAAAAGAGTAACTGTCTCCAAGCTTGACAAACCAATAGAAAAATTAGATTAGACCTTGAGGAGTTTGCAAGTTTACAACTTCAACTCTCAAGTCTGAGAATGTTCTACACTTAAATGAGTCTTAAAAATTCAGAACCCAATAGTGAGCAAAAGAGGAGAGGGAGCATGAAGCAGGCAGAAGGGAACAAATGAAGAGGTGAAGGGAGAGGGAGTTGAAGTCATGTGAGCCAAAAAATCCTGCTAGAATAAAAGCACTTTGCAACTCCCTCCATTTCACCCACAACAGCTTTTCCTGGTTGGTTGCTAAAGTCCCACCAAACATCTCATCCAGTGCATATGTTATTTAAAATACACTAATTTCTTAGATTCAACTAATTCCTCTCACACTCTTCTGGATTTTTAGTGAGAATAAAATTATGACATAACAGTTATGGTTTATGCCTTTAAGATAATTACTAACAAAGAAGCTGGTTTGTTTTATGTGCTTCTTAACAGTAAAAACCGAATGCAACAAAACCCACTATTGTTGTATTTTCCTCCACTCTTC